ACCTCGACATACGAACTTGTAATTCGTAAAAAAACAAATATAAAGCATTAAACTTCAAACAAACGCCACGAAGAAACATACAATGTGAAATCATAAAGCCATTCTAGTGCTAATTTTTTTGAAACGAATTATTTTAACCTATTAGAATTTCATTTCCGAATATTCGGAAATGGAGCAAGACCAAGTAACAATAATTTCAATATAAATTTGAACAATATTAATTTTGTATATGACAATCAATAACAATTGCATAAAAATGAAAACCTTAATTTATAAAATAAATCATGCATTCAAGGCTTGACATATATTTTTTCTCAGTTGTTTAATAGTCAGGCTACATTTACTTTTCCAGAGTGTCCATAAGATGCTTGCTATAAAAGTGATCGTTAAATATATCGAATACGTGCATGTAACGTTTTGCGTTTGTACGCGCTGGTATACTAAACAGAATTGCGCATTCTGTGGGTGTATACGTGGGCTCTCAGTTTCCTTTTGCTGAGTCAAAACTGACTTGTACGATGTACAATTTTGTTGGAACACTAAGTTACCAGCCAGGATTTCCGGATGCACTGTTCATTACCATTCAGGCAATAATGCTGACCATCTCGGCAATCCTGGTTACCATGGTGGCGATGAGAAGACATCTCTGTTGCGATTTGGACACGTTACCTTACCTCGCGTGCGATCGAGCTCCATGAGTGTTACCGCTAAGATAAATGCCCTCAAGAGAAACATTTCTGCTGCCAGTAAGCACAGCACCACAATGGGCTGTAAGATTATGTTATTTGTCTAGCCTGCAGTGGGGTGCTCAATAGTGAGTACAACCCCTTAGGGTTTCCTATATGTATCCTGCTGCTTGCTAGTTCAATCATCATTCCCATTCTCACTTCTCCAATTCTCCTTCGTATACCACAAACCCTAGTCCTAGGGCACAACCTACTACCTCCTAGTGTGGGCCTAGGCTACTAAGCCTAGGCCCCACTCCTATTGTTTCTAACATGGTATCTAGAGCGAGCACGTTCCTGCCGCTTACCTCTATGGGCCCACCACCTGCTTCCGCTGCCGTAGTGTCCGCCGCGCGCCCCGTGGTGCGCGGCGGCGAAACCCTAATTTTTCATCCCGCCGCGCCCTCGAAGCGTGCGGCGGTTTTCTGCCCGCCGTGCGCCCCGAGGCGCGCGGCGGCTTTCTGCCCCGTCGCCCCCGCGTCGCCCCGCGTCGTTCCCGTCGCCCGCGGACCCCCGTCCCCGTCGCCCGCGGCCCCCCCGTTCCCGTCGCCCGCGGCCCCCCGTTCCCGTCGCCCGCGGCCCCCCGTTCCCGTCGCCCGCGGCCCCCCGTTCCCGTCGCCCGCGGCCCCCCGTTCCCGTCGCCCGCGGCCCCCCGTTCCCGTCGCCCGCGGCCCCCCGTTCCCGTCGCCCGCGGCCCCCCGTTCCCGTCGCCCGCGGCCCCCGTTTCGTCGCCCCGCGCCCCCCCTTTCGTCGCCCTGCGCGGACGCCAGCGCCACGGCCAGCCGCGAGCGCCAGCGCGGCCCGTACGGACTGCGCCAGGCCAGGGCGCGCCTCGAGCCGCTCGTCACAGGGTTTCTGAATTCCCACATTGTGGGCTGTCTTGTGCAGGAGTTGAAGCTTGACGGTTGTCAAAGGTGAAGGACCTCTCGGAGTTGACGCGGCGGTCTTCTCCAGGGAGAGGGAGTCCAGCAACTCCTCAAGCGTAGCTGGAGCCGTCGATGCTCATTGCTTGATGGCTCTCAAGAGCGTTGATGCGAGCTACTAATTGCTCGACGACAGCGGCGCTGACGGAGGTCACCGCTGATGGCGCATTAGTCGTTGCTGGTGGTGGGCCCGGAGAGTCTGCAGTGGCTTTCCCTTCAGGAGCCATGATGGTGCAGACTTGTGATATATTGAGTGTTTTTATAAAGAGGTTGTTCTAGGAAGAACTAGAACTCGGCAGGTCTTATAATCCACTCTAGCTCTCATACCATGCTGAGATATCCAAGGAATCGAAGTGAATAAAATAAGTCTGCCAAGTCTAGTAAAGACTCTGAAGCCTTCGTAGCGACCTTGTTTGATAATGGTTGAAAGATAACAAGATGATTATAAGATAGGAGTATAAGAGATTAAATAGCAAACTAGTTAGCCATGTACTCCGAGGGGTACATTCCCTTATTAACTGTATTGCTTACCGTCATACCCCGGATAGAAGCGCCCCTGGGGTTGTAATAAAACACTGTTTTTTAGGGGGTGCGCTTATAATTGAGGAAATTTATAAGCGCCGGGGCTTATATAATGACATATATGAAATTTAGTTTTTTTTGCACCAAAGTGTTCATCTCGTCCTTGCGATTTGAATCGAATCGAAATTGTAGAGGGCAATGAATGTGAATTTCGCGTGAATTGGCAGTGGCTGATTCCATGCCAACACACACAGTCAGAATGAGTCAGATTGACCCCATGACAGCTCATTCTGACTGGACGCGAAGGCATTGAGTCGCGCGAGGGTGAAGGGATTCGAAATTCTGAATGTGGGAATGCAAATTTGTGTTTCGTTATAGCGTTTCTAGTAAAACTATAAGAAAATATTACTAAGGGTGGTGCTTATAATCCGTAAGCCTTCAGGGGTGCGCTTATAATCGAGGACCGGATATAAGCGCCCTCATCCTTTTATAAGCGCCGGCGCTTATCATAGGCATGCGCTTCTATGAGCATCCTTTTATAAGCGCCCTCATCCTTTTACTGGTAGGTCAAGAGTCACGAACGTTGACTGCCTTCGACTGTTGACCTTCGGGTGACTCTCTATCATCCGCATGCTCTATATGGGTTATTGCGGCACTAGTACAGTGCGTTGTTTCGTTAAGGAGGAGCAACGCATTGTTAAGAAACCTTCGGAAATGCTTATAATATCCTTTCGGTTATTCCAACAACCCCACCAATGTCCCTACTGACCGCGGTCTGTACGGTGAAAATGCAAACAAGTTACACGCTCTAAAGGATAATGTTTTGCACTTGTTGGAATTGGAATTACAGTGTAGAAGTTAGCTGTAGATTCTACAGCGATACTGCTGCAAAGACAGTTTATCCTCGGGTTTGAAGTTTGAGGTGTTCCCTGTGATACAGAAACTGCATCTTGCGACAACTTTGTCCCTGCTGATGATGAACAAAATTGTCATCAGGCTCGACAGGGTGATTTGACGTTTGGGTTGCAGAATTCCGAACAACTTGAAGTTTTAGGGCGCACCCAAAACAATGAATTTCGAAAAGGATCGCGACCCTTCCGTTTCCCCTTCTACACCTGTTCTCCGGTATTTCCACACCCCCTACCCTCGTTTTTGCCAGACACCCTATACGGCTTGAGGATCGATGAGACGGACACCCTGACACTACGGGTCTATCAGTAAAGAGCCGTCAGGTTCTGGCCATTCGAAACTCTAATTTGTAATCAGGGTGAGCGGGGAAAATTCCCAGTGCCATAATGTTAGAGTGTTAAACTCGCATTGAGGTCGTGTCTTATTACCTTCGAAACTCCCGCGTTCGTTTCTAACTACCTTTGAAATCAGATTTTTACGAGGGTAGGTACCCTTGGGCGTGAAGATAGGGGGTGTGGAATTATCGCAGGATAGGTGTACACCCTGTTTCGCGCCACACTGACATCAGCTGTATGAACCCATCGCTTTGTGTGACTTCACCAAGCCCAGAATGGTGCAAGCACACTGTGTACACGCACAATTACGAATGCCAACTTGGAGTATCGGCTGTTGACCTTGACCGTCCAGAATGGTCGGCTGTTGTAAGACAGCCGACCACAGTGTGTGAACAATGTGCGGAAACAGAGCAAAAGCAGCAGCTGAGGTGTCGAAAATCCACCAACGACTGTTGCACTCGTGCCACGTGTGTAAATACACAACCCGGGCCAGCCACGTCAAACCTGAAATGAAGACACAAGATGCCCGTTTGACTAACCCAAGGTCGCCTTACCAAGAGGGCTCTTAAGTGATTCTTGCATTTCGCTAAGCTTTCGTCAATTCGCACTTAGCAAAAAGGGCTTTTAAAAGATTTTGTAACTCGCTGTTGACCGTTTGACATGGGTCTCTTCTGTCAAACTTCGGTTTTTGTGGTTCGTATTGCTCGAGGTGCTTGTAGTGGGGTGCAACTGGCTGGTACCCTAATACACGGGTGCAGAGTTTCCATCGCGGGCAGGGCAAATTCGCGTGCAGGGATTCGCGTGCAGGGATTGGGTATTCCGTTTGCACGAAATGCGGAAATGCGGAAATCCAAACAAATAGCGACTCGGGATGCAACATTGAACAAATCGCACGCGAAATGCATTCTCTTTCAATGTGCTAAACAATGTGCTTCCAATGACGAGGAAATGCAACATTGCACATCGATAAGAAGTGGCCGAATTTAACAACGCAACAGCCAGAGAGGCTTCCATACCTAGTTTCACAATGGCGCGCGTTTCTCTCACTCGCTACATGAAACGTGCTATCTGCAAGCACCACCAAGCGAACAAGACGCAGTATTGGTTCCGTCCCGCATGTCTGGTCATCCGATGAAGACAACGTCAACAGAACATTTCGAATGTTCTGTTTTGTCGATTGGTGCAATGTGTGCCTGTCAACATTAGCCGTGTTGGTTACATTCACAGTGGCGCTAAATGACAGAACTGTTGACGCAGCTGCCGATTGTGGGAACATCGAGAAACAGGGTGTAGTGAAGCAGTTGAAGCAAGTGCTTCAGTGAAGCAGTTGAAGTGACTGTCAGATGGTGTGTCGAATCGTGCCCACCACCTTTCTTCGTGTTTAGGTTTTATGGTAGCTCAACAGTCGCCTGCACTACCAGCACCAGCAATGTTATTTTCCGCAATCAAGTTCAGAGTTGCATTCGTTTTTTCGTCAGTTTCTAGTATCATACTAGGTGATCGTGAAGATGAGTGCTGACATGGTGATTCTCCAGGAGAATTCTGATCACTCTTCTCGTGGAGAGGTTGAGACCGACAAGGAGCACATGTCCACTGAGGGGCGTGGTAAACCACGCTCCCCAGTGAAGCGCAAGTCTCGCGTGCTTAGCAGTTTGACCCGCGATGACATTGTGAGGGTAAGTATTTTGTTCGAAGGTTCTGCCGCCGTGCTGATGCCACCCATATACTAACGACTCCGCTTTTGTGTGCAGCTCTTTGACTTCCCAATCGAGACAGCCGCCAGATTAGTTGGGGTTGGAGAAACTGCATTGAAACGAAGATGTAGGGAACTCGGCATCGTAAGGTGGAAGCACCGGACTCTGATGGGCTTTAGAAACATTGCGAGCTCACTGCAGGTGTGGCTTGGTTACCATATTTGCGTGAATTACTCGCGAGAAGATCTCTAATCACCGTGTTTCGTCTACCGCCAGATCCCGTCCGAGGAGTTGACGCGGTGTTTTGAAGAAGACCCTAACTTAGAGCTGGGAGCTAATCTTTGTAAAGTTCGACAAAAGGTCTACAAGGAACGACACCAGTCCAAGATCTGTGCAACAGTGCGGCAGCCCACTGTTACAGTTGGGCAGCCCCACAGTGCCAACCCACCGGCAAGTGGGAGGCTGAAAACTCCCAAACCACGCAAGGTTGGGATTGGTCAGCCTCCCCTCCCAGCATTTGGGCGCCCACCTGAAGACACGCTGTCCAAACCACACCCTCGCGCGAAAATTACGAAACGCATAAAAGTCAACCTCCGACCCCTCGCCGACATCGCCAACAGTGCCAACGAAATTACAGCCCCGTAACCAAGCTCGCCGTCCAATCCCGCATCGCAATCAATCTCTGAATTTCACGGCAAGGTTCATTTCAAGGGGTAGAGTTACCAATAAGAAATTCAGAGTGTCATAGTGCGACTCGATTTGTGAATGCATCCTATAAAATTGTGTGTGAAATTTGTTGAAGTCATAGTGCAATTTCCAGAGAATTCCAGAGAGCACTCTACACCCGTTTTCCTAGCCTACTAAGGGCTGCTATCTCCCTGCCAAGAACGTTTCACTTGTAATCAGAGCCTCGTTAGTCACTTCGCACGCTCCCGCCATATTCTAGACCCTATGGCTGGGCCGTCGGATATGACGCCGGAACTCTGGAACGAGTTTGTAGCCAATATACGCCGAGAAATTGAACGCGAGGTGCGTGACCGGATCCTCCAGGAACGTGGACTCCTGGGCACACAGGTGCCGGCGCCAGCACCTGCTGTGGTTTCTGCACGTCTGAAAGCACCTGAACCTGAGCCGTTTCATCTCAAAAATAGTGGTCCGTTTGACATACTAAAAACATACCAAAAAAACATTGTTTGGTATAGTTTTGGGATCACATTCTCGGCATACTAAACAGTAGAAAGCCGCGTGGGTTTTTGGTAAGCTCAAATTGTATAGCATTTAGGATTGCACAGAAAGATACCACCTCTTTAGTGAAGTTATAACATAAGAATAGTGTTCTGTCCACAGTCACGTTGCAACGTCATAACATTTGCATCCTAAACCCATACCATTAATTATACGAATAGTACCCAGACTATAACCTCTCACATACCTGCAACATTACCACTGTACCATACTGGCCAGGCCTTATTTGGCATCCAATCGTACACAGATATGGAGACATCCAACATCCAATAATGCGCGGTTACAGCAACGAACACATGGCACGTTTAAATTAGGGCAAGACACTTAAAGCGGCGGTATACATTTGAAAGTACTGTTTGTTTTGGAACAGTACCCACCAAAAGCAAACCCAAACGAAAAGCGAATGGGCTTGGCGAGAGAATCGGCGAAAATTTGGATGGCTGATTGTTGCGAACACGAGAAAGTCTCCCGTCAACCCAAGCCCTGGAGTGACACGAACAGACCAACGGAGCGACTAATTTTTAGGAAAGGCCTTCGATACAACTATACAATAGGCAACTAGGGCGGCGAGGAACAGCGCTGGCGCTAAAGAAAAACGCTGGTGTCGAGGCGACAAGTGTCACAAGGCTGGCTCGCGAGATTACTTAGAAACCATTTCTACAAACACCTCACTCTCTCATGAATAGACTCGTTCAAAGGCCTCGCAATAGATGTAGGACTAGCCTTCGTCCTAAGCGCCGCATTCCATGCGTTCCCGTCGCCGGCGACGTTCTCGCCGAACCCGCACCTCGATCGCCGAACCCGCAGCTCGATCGCCGAACCGGCAGCTCGCGACACCCTCTTAGCGCGTCACCCGCGTCTCTCCTACCCCGCTGCGCGCCTCACCGCTTAGCGCCTCACCGCTTAGTGCCTCACCGCTTAACGCCTCACCTTCCCCTTATTTCCCCCTCTACTCCCCCTCGTTCCAGCCTCTCCTTCCCCTTATTTCTTCCTCTGCTTCCCCTCGTTCCCCCCTCTCCTTCCCCTTATTTCCAACTCTACTCCCCCCTCGTTCCCCCCTCTCCTTCCCCTTGTTTCCCCCTCTGCTCCCCCTCGTTCCCCCTCTCCTTCCCCTTGTTTCCCCCTCTGCTTCCCCTCGTTCCCCCCTCTCCTTCCCCTTGTTTCCCCCTCTGCTCCCCCTCGTTCCCCCCTCTCCTTCCCCTTGTTTCCCCCTCTGCTCCCCCTCGTTCCCCCCTTTCCTTCCCCTTATTTCCCCCTCTGCTCCCCCTCGTTCCCCCCTCTCCTTCCCCTTGTTTCCCCCTCTGCTCCCCCTCGTTCCCCCCTTTCCTTCCCCTTATTTCCCCCTCTGCTCCCCCTCGTTCCGCCCTCTCCTTCCCTTATTTCCCCCTCTGCTCCCCCTCGTTCCCACCTCTCCTTCCCCTTGTTTCCCCCTCTGCTTCCCCTCGTTTCCCCCTCTCCTTCCCCTTCTTTCCCCCTCTGCTCCCCCTCGTTCCCCCCTCTCCTTCCCCTTGTTTCCCCCTCTGCTCCCCCTCGTTCCCCCTCTCCTTCCCCTTGTTTCCCCCTCTGCTCCCCCTCGTTCCCCCCTTTCCTTCCCCTTGTTTCCCCCTCTGCTTCCCCTCGTTTCCCCCTCTCCTTCCCCTTCTTTCCCCCTCTGCTCCCCCTCGTTCCCCCCTCTCCTTCCCCTTATTTCCCCCTCTGCTCCCCCTCGTTACCCCCTCTGCTTCCCCTTATTTCCCCCTCTTCTTCCCCTCCTTTCCCCTTATGCTTCACCTCCTTCCCCCCCCTGCATGCCCTCCTTTCTCCACCTGCTTCCCCTCCTTGCCCCCCATGCTTCTCTTCGCTTCCCCCCACATCCCCTGTTTTCCCCTGCTTTCCCCCCCTTGCTTGCTCTCCTTCACCCCCATGCTTCACCTCCTTACCGCCCCTCCTTCACCTCCTTTCCCTCCCTGCTTCCCCCCTTTTCCCCCACGGCTTCCCTTCCTTTCCCCCCCTGCCTCCTCTCCTTTCCCCCCATGCTTATCCTCCCTTCCCCACCTGCTTCCCCTATTTCTCACCCTCCTTTCGCTCATTTTCCCCCTCTGCTTGCCGCAATGCCTCTCCACCCCCTTACAATTCAATCAGCTCCTTCGAGTTTGCTTATTCTCTGTCCTCCCTTTTTACCCTGCTTATGCTCCCTCCTCCCTTTGCTTACCCTCTCTCTTCCCCTCTACCCTCACCACCAGTACCGTGTTTACCGCCTTCCCTTTCCATACTGAGGGATTTCAAGTGCAGCATGGAACAAGATGGACCAGTCCTCTTCAGTCTAGGCTTGCATGTGCTCCCACTGTGTGTTGAAAGTAGTTGAATGTTACATCACAGTTCTATTGCAAATGATGTTCACATGCATCTGATATGTACCACGTGATCTGTCTTTCAGGTGTCTGTCCCCTTTCTATAAGCCACAGCTGAAAATGAGCACAGCAATGATGTCCAAAAGGAACATTGAGTTGTATCGTATGTACACATACAATCATCTCTAAGTATACTAAACAGCACTATACTCTTCGTGTCATGTTCATGCCACGACACACTCCTGCAACATAATGCCCCTCCACACTGCCAAGCTCGCTTGGCCCAGGCGTTGTCATGCTTGTCGCTGGAGCAGAGGGAATTGGCACACTTATATGGTGCTGACTTGGACGCAAAACCGGCAGCTTTGCATATGCATACCCGCCTGGTACGGGTTGAATGACACCTGGTGTCACAGCGGTAAGTAATGGGGCCCTATACCCATGGGAGGCAAGGCAGGGAGGTGTGATGGAAAGGCAGGGAGGTGTGATGGAAAGGCAGGGAGGTGTGATGGAAAGGCAGGGAGGTGTGATGGAAAGGCAGGGAGGTGTGATGGAAAGGCAGGGAGGTGTGATGGAAAGGCAGGGAGGTGTGATGGAAAGGCAGGGAGGTGTGATGGAAAGGCAGGGAGGTGTGATGGAAAGGCAGGGAGGTGTGATGGAAAGGCAGGGAGGTGTGATGGAAAGGCAGGGAGGTGTGATGGAAAGGCAGGGAGGTGTGATGGAAAGGCAGGGAGGTGTGATGGAAAGGCAGGGAGGTGTGATGGAAAGGCAGGGAGGTGTGATGGAAAGGCAGGGAGGTGTGATGGAAAGGCAGGGAGGTGTGATGGAAAGGCAGGGAGGTGTGATGGAAAGGCAGGGAGGTGTGATGGAAAGGCAGGGAGGTGTGATGGAAAGGCAGGGAGGTGTGATGGAAAGGCAGGGAGGTGTGATGGAAAGGCAGGGAGGTGTGATGGAAAGGCAGGGAGGTGTGATGGAAAGGCAGGGAGGTGTGATGGAAAGGCAGGGAGGTGTGATGGAAAGGCAGGGAGGTGTGATGGAAAGGCAGGGAGGTGTGATGGAAAGGCAGGGAGGTGTGATGGAAAGGCAGGGAGGTGTGATGGAAAGGCAGGGAGGTGTGATGGAAAGGCAGGGAGGTGTGATGGAAAGGCAGGGAGGTGTGATGGAAAGGCAGGGAGGTGTGATGGAAAGGCAGGGAGGTGTGATGGAAAGGCAGGGAGGTGTGATGGAAAGGCAGGGAGGTGTGATGGAAAGGCAGGGAGGTGTGATGGAAAGGCAGGGAGGTGTGATGGAAAGGCAGGGAGGTGTGATGGAAAGGCAGGGAGGTGTGATGGAAAGGCAGGGAGGTGTGATGGAAAGGCAGGGAGGTGTGATGGAAAGGCAGGGAGGTGTGATGGAAAGGCAGGGAGGTGTGATGGAAAGGCAGGGAGGTGTGATGGAAAGGCAGGGAGGTGTGATGGAAAGGCAGGGAGGTGTGATGGAAAGGCAGGGAGGTGTGATGGAAAGGCAGGGAGGTGTGATGGAAAGGCAGGGAGGTGTGATGGAAAGGCAGGGAGGTGTGATGGAAAGGCAGGGAGGTGTGATGGAAAGGCAGGGAGGTGTGATGGAAAGGCAGGGAGGTGTGATGGAAAGGCAGGGAGGTGTGATGGAAAGGCAGGGAGGTGTGATGGAAAGGCAGGGAGGTGTGATGGAAAGGCAGGGAGGTGTGATGGAAAGGCAGGGAGGTGTGATGGAAAGGCAGGGAGGTGTGATGGAAAGGCAGGGAGGTGTGATGGAAAGGCAGGGAGGTGTGATGGAAAGGCAGGGAGGTGTGATGGAAAGGCAGGGAGGTGTGATGGAAAGGCAGGGAGGTGTGATGGAAAGGCAGGGAGGTGTGATGGAAAGGCAGGGAGGTGTGATGGAAAGGCAGGGAGGTGTGATGGAAAGGCAGGGAGGTGTGATGGAAAGGCAGGGAGGTGTGATGGAAAGGCAGGGAGGTGTGATGGAAAGGCAGGGAGGTGTGATGGAAAGGCAGGGAGGTGTGATGGAAAGGCAGGGAGGTGTGATGGAAAGGCAGGGAGGTGTGATGGAAAGGCAGGGAGGTGTGATGGAAAGGCAGGGAGGTGTGATGGAAAGGCAGGGAGGTGTGATGGAAAGGCAGGGAGGTGTGATGGAAAGGCAGGGAGGTGTGATGGAAAGGCAGGGAGGTGTGATGGAAAGGCAGGGAGGTGTGATGGAAAGGCAGGGAGGTGTGATGGAAAGGCAGGGAGGTGTGATGGAAAGGCAGGGAGGTGTGATGGAAAGGCAGGGAGGTGTGATGGAAAGGCAGGGAGGTGTGATGGAAAGGCAGGGAGGTGTGATGGAAAGGCAGGGAGGTGTGATGGAAAGGCAGGGAGGTGTGATGGAAAGGCAGGGAGGTGTGATGGAAAGGCAGGGAGGTGTGATGGAAAGGCAGGGAGGTGTGATGGAAAGGCAGGGAGGTGTGATGGAAAGGCAGGGAGGTGTGATGGAAAGGCAGGGAGGTGTGATGGAAAGGCAGGGAGGTGTGATGGAAAGGCAGGGAGGTGTGATGGAAAGGCAGGGAGGTGTGATGGAAAGGCAGGGAGGTGTGATGGAAAGGCAGGGAGGTGTGATGGAAAGGCAGGGAGGTGTGATGGAAAGGCAGGGAGGTGTGATGGAAAGGCAGGGAGGTGTGATGGAAAGGCAGGGAGGTGTGATGGAAAGGCAGGGAGGTGTGATGGAAAGGCAGGGAGGTGTGATGGAAAGGCAGGGAGGTGTGATGGAAAGGCAGGGAGGTGTGATGGAAAGGCAGGGAGGTGTGATGGAAAGGCAGGGAGGTGTGATGGAAAGGCAGGGAGGTGTGATGGAAAGGCAGGGAGGTGTGATGGAAAGGCAGGGAGGTGTGATGGAAAGGCAGGGAGGTGTGATGGAAAGGCAGGGAGGTGTGATGGAAAGGCAGGGAGGTGTGATGGAAAGGCAGGGAGGTGTGATGGAAAGGCAGGGAGGTGTGATGGAAAGGCAGGGAGGTGTGATGGAAAGGCAGGGAGGTGTGATGGAAAGGCAGGGAGGTGTGATGGAAAGGCAGGGAGGTGTGATGGAAAGGCAGGGAGGTGTGATGGAAAGGCAGGGAGGTGTGATGGAAAGGCAGGGAGGTGTGATGGAAAGGCAGGGAGGTGTGATGGAAAGGCAGGGAGGTGTGATGGAAAGGCAGGGAGGTGTGATGGAAAGGCAGGGAGGTGTGATGGAAAGGCAGGGAGGTGTGATGGAAAGGCAGGGAGGTGTGATGGAAAGGCAGGGAGGTGTGATGGAAAGGCAGGGAGGTGTGATGGAAAGGCAGGGAGGTGTGATGGAAAGGCAGGGAGGTGTGATGGAAAGGCAGGGAGGTGTGATGGAAAGGCAGGGAGGTGTGATGGAAAGGCAGGGAGGTGTGATGGAAAGGCAGGGAGGTGTGATGGAAAGGCAGGGAGGTGTGATGGAAAGGCAGGGAGGTGTGATGGAAAGGCAGGGAGGTGTGATGGAAAGGCAGGGAGGTGTGATGGAAAGGCAGGGAGGTGTGATGGAAAGGCAGGGAGGTGTGATGGAAAGGCAGGGAGGTGTGATGGAAAGGCAGGGAGGTGTGATGGAAAGGCAGGGAGGTGTGATGGAAAGGCAGGGAGGTGTGATGGAAAGGCAGGGAGGTGTGATGGAAAGGCAGGGAGGTGTGATGGAAAGGCAGGGAGGTGTGATGGAAAGGCAGGGAGGTGTGATGGAAAGGCAGGGAGGTGTGATGGAAAGGCAGGGAGGTGTGATGGAAAGGCAGGGAGGTGTGATGGAAAGGCAGGGAGGTGTGATGGAAAGGCAGGGAGGTGTGATGGAAAGGCAGGGAGGTGTGATGGAAAGGCAGGGAGGTGTGATGGAAAGGCAGGGAGGTGTGATGGAAAGGCAGGGAGGTGTGATGGAAAGGCAGGGAGGTGTGATGGAAAGGCAGGGAGGTGTGATGGAAAGGCAGGGAGGTGTGATGGAAAGGCAGGGAGGTGTGATGGAAAGGCAGGGAGGTGTGATGGAAAGGCAGGGAGGTGTGATGGAAAGGCAGGGAGGTGTGATGGAAAGGCAGGGAGGTGTGATGGAAAGGCAGGGAGGTGTGATGGAAAGGCAGGGAGGTGTGATGGAAAGGCAGGGAGGTGTGATGGAAAGGCAGGGAGGTGTGATGGAAAGGCAGGGAGGTGTGATGGAAAGGCAGGGAGGTGTGATGGAAAGGCAGGGAGGTGTGATGGAAAGGCAGGGAGGTGATGGCGGTGAGAATTGCAGGTTGAGTCAGAATGGCAGGACGAGTGCATGGCGAGGCATGGCCAGTGTGAGAGGGCAGACGGGCCTCGTCCCAAACCCGTGGGCGGTGGGAAGGAAAATAACATGGGGAGACATGGAGGAAAAATTGGGAGCGAGAGAGAGGGATGGGGCGATCTGGAGGAAGGAGGAAAAGGGGATGTGAAGAGCAAGAAGCAAGACAAAGCGTGGACCAGTGACAAAGGAGGGAAGAGGCACAGAGAGCGGGAGGTAGAGTGGTGGTGCTGATGAGGACAGTGCTTGAGGAGCAGTTTGAAGAGGGCGGGTTGCGGATAACAGGCCCTGGAAAAGAGAAGAGATGGGAAGGCAGGGAGAGGTGGTGGGAGGCATGAAGGGGAGATGGGAAGGCAGGGAGAGGTGGTGGGATGAGGAGATGGGGAGGAGAGATGGGGAAAAGGGGGAAATGAGGGCGTGCAGGGGGGGGAATGAAGGCGTGCAAGGGGGAAATGAGGGCGCGCAAGGGGTAAATGAAGGCGTGCAAGGGGGAAATGAAGGCGTGCAAGGGGGAAATGAGGGCGGGCAAGGGGAAAATGAGGGCGTGCAAGGGGAAAATAAGGGCGTTCGAGAGGGAGAAACGAGGGCGTGCAGGGGGGGGAAACGAGGGCGTGCAGGGGGGGGAAACGAGGGCGTGCAAGGGGGGAAATGAAGGCGTGAAAGGGGGGGATGAGGCGTGCAAGGGGGAAATGAGGGCGTTCGAGGGGGAGAAACGAGGGCGTGCAGGGGGGGAAATAAGGGCGTGCAGGGGAAATGAGGGCGTGCTCGGAAGGGGAGTAAAGGCGTGGCGGGAAGGGGAGAAGGCGTGGCGGGAAGGGGGGATGACGTGGCGAGAAGGGGGGATGGAGTGGCGGGAAGGGGAGATGACGTGGCGGGAAGGGGAGATTTTCGTGGCGGGAAGGGGAGATGGCGTGGCGAGAAGGGGGGATGACGTGGCGAAAGGGGGGATGGAGTGGCGGGAAGGGGAGATGACGTGGCGGGAAGAGGAGTTTTCGTGGCGGGAAGGGGAGATGGCGTGGCGGTGGTCGCGATGGGGCCGCGTGAGGAGACGTAGAGCCCAGTCCGATGATGGCCTTGCGGTGAGGTAGCGAGAGGAGGCGTGGGGCGGCCTTGTCTAAGGTGGCGTGGCCTAAGCGAGTGCGTAGGCGTGGCGATTTGTCCGCGCATGCGAGGAAACATCGTTACGTGGTTCAGTAACAGATGTTGTCCCTAATTCTAGCTGTTAGGTTAGAATGCTGCCTAGTCTACGCGGAATGACATACTGAAGTAGGAGTGTGTGGGCTATCCTCTCACTACCGCAGTTGCAGTTTCCTTTTGCAATTCCTAAGGTTTTGAACTGTGAGTGCGGGGAGCTGGACGTGGGGCGTTTGGGAACTCCTTCGCCTCTCAACAAGGGGGGGTTGGGGTTGTAATCGCGTAACCAGTTTTTCAAGTTCCTAAGGTTTTTGAAACCCCCGCTTGCAAAAGTATACTGTTGCTTTAAAACCAGGCCCTTTCTACACATCGTCATTCTCTTCATCCTCATCGTCATCCAGACATCCTGCCATCTCCTCGCACCCTTCCTCCTTCCCCTTGCGACCACTTCCGGCGTGCTTCTGTTGCTTCAACCTTGCATACATCAGTTTTACACGTCCTACACATCTGCCACAAGCATTTACAAAAAGGGTTAGCACCAACTGTAATGTTGAACGTACCTGTGATGCATTTGTTAAAACGCCAGTAATCCTGTATGGCAGATAATAAATGACACAACCAACGAAGCCGCAACCGCAGTCGCCACAGTACCTGCAGGTGGAATGTTCACAAAAGGCAGTGATTAGAATCAAAACTATGAGACAATGGGAGAGGGAATGATAAGAGAAAATGACTTACAATTATGGGGGGAGGAAAAAACGGATCGACCAGTACGACGGAGGGCAGGTGGCGAGTGCAGGCGCCTATGCCAGAGCGAGTGGATTGCTGGTCAAAGGCAAGAAGTTAGCGGGACGACGGCGGAAACAGAGTGGACGAGGGCGGAACGAGGGCGCAGCTGCCTCAGAGCCGCGCGAAACGCACCGCGGTTCGAGCGTGTTTAGTAGAGAAGACGTTCGTGCAGGCTGGCGCATTGCAGGACTAAGGAAACTTAAAAACTAGACTAAGAAATAGAGCATCTAGATGCAAAGTGAAGACAGGAGGGGGCTGTGGAAGTATCTAGAAATCGTGAAGGGATAAGTAGAAGTGAGGACACAGCGGGGGTTAGATAACGAGAAGTTTGGGTAGGTGGTTGGGTGATTGTGTGGGGATGGTTGTTTGATAGCAGTTCGAATGAACCTAACCTGTACAGGAAGCTGTTTGTGTGGCAGGTGATGTGACAGGTGGCAACAGATGGCAACATGTGGAGCGAGCGACGTGAGTAGAAACAAGTCTTGTGTTTTCCGTTTGACAGTTGTACTAAAGCTGTTTAGCGTAGTGGTTAGTGTTACCCGTGTGAATCTGAGAGATCGTCAGATCGAGTCTTGCTAAGAGATTGTATTCGCGAACTAATGTTGAGATAGTTTTGTCTGCACAATTTCACTTCAGGGACTTCCTTGTGTTCCCAATTCTGCACCTGGCAAGCATCGATCCCGCGACCTTCCGCATAAATATTGTTGTGAACAATTAGTTTTATGAAGTACAAAAAAAATATGTCAAAAGGCAAAGCAGTGTTATAGAAATGCTATACATAAAATGGGAATCTCACTAAAGCATACTGTTTGGCAGTGTTTTGGTAGGCAAAAGATCACGCCCATTTCCCTACTAAACGAGTCCACCAGTTACGCCTACTAAAAGGGCGTTCGACATTTTTGAGATGTTGTCCCTGGAAAACGGGACTTACCTGTGCGAAGATGGCTTTTCAAAGTGGAGGAATACCTCTCCCTTTGTCATGTCAACCGGGCGGAGTGGGCTCGGCACGCCGGCATGATGCTGCGGGGAGCTGCTGCTACTTGGTGGCAGAGCTGCCACGCTACAATTTCAACATGGGAAGAATTTTCTGCATCGCTCCTAATGAACTTCGAACCGGTCAACGCCATCGAGCGCGCGCGTGACAACCTTGCTGATTTACGCCAACACCGCTCGGTCGCTGAGTACATCAATCGCTTCCGCGAGCTCGTGCTTGAGATTCCTGACATCCCTGCTGCTGAACAGATGGACAAATTCAAGCGTGGGCTGAAGCCGAAAATCCGCACCGAGGTTGAACTTCGTGGCGCTGCGACGCTGGATGAGATGATTCGTGTCGCCGAGCGTTTTGACACCATCAACTTTGCAGCGTACCAGCGATTCCAAGGGCGAACCGGGCAGCACGCAGTAGCTGGACCTACTATCCGCACCAACGGTCCTACTCCCATGGAGCTCGGTGTGGTGGACCAGCGCACACGCAACCAATCCACGCTCACGTGCTACTCGTGCGGGAAAGTCGGCCACATCAAGCGACACTGCCCGAACCGCCGCAACTTCGAAAGGTCTCCGGGAAACGGACAGCGCCAGTAGCAGTGGGGCAGACCTCTGGCGCATCGCATGCCCCGCTTCTCCCGACCCCATTATCCATCGGCACCTCTTAACTCTACACCACATCAAACGCCCCATTCCCCGCTATCATTCTATGGGCAAAAATAAAGGATCGCTATGTTGACTTTCTACTCGATACCGGCGCTTCAGCAAATTTCCTCTCTCCCTCAATTGTGGCTGAACTTTCTCTTCCCGAAGATCCCAACAGCAACCCACAGGACGTCATCATGGCAGATGGTACTCGGCGGCGCTGCGGACCTACTCTCCTCCCCGTGCACTGCATGTTCGGAAGTCTGGAGGCAACGGTTACGTTCGAGCAAATGCACCTCGGCGGCTATGAAGGCGTGCTCGGACGACCGTGGTTGTACCAGCTTGGACCGCGAATTTATTGGCGTAACGCAACAGTCACCGTCGGCAACTACGACCTCCCATCCCGCTCCTACCGCCGCCCATGGTCATCCCCAACAACTTCAGCCTCATCAACCCATCCACCCCAACCTGCCCCACCTCCAGCCTCGCATATCCCCCCTCTCCCTCCTCCTCACATAGCCTCCGCGCAGCAGCCAACACCACCCGGATCCCCCGAAGTCATCAACACACCTCCTCCTTCTCCACCCCACCCAACCCAGCAGCCACGCCGTTACCTCTTCCCCCCCTTCTCAGAAGTTTTCAATCCACCAGCCCCCACCCCTCCTTCACCACCTCCTCCTCATCATCTCCTAGTCATCTTCACCACTCCCAACTCTGAATCATCACCCAACTCTCTCCCATCACCTATACAAAAGTTACTCCAAGGCTACACCGACGTCTTCCCCGAAGATCTTCCCGCCAAACTTCCACCCGACCGCGCTATCGACCATAGCATCCGTCTCGTCCCTGGATCTACACCACCAACCCGCCCTACTTATCGCATGAGTACGGTGGAACTTACAGAGCTCCGACGCCAACTTGACGACCTACTCGCCAAAGGCTTCATTCGTCCAAGCACCTCGCCCTACGCTGCCCCCGTACTTTTCACAAGGAAGAAAGAAGGAGATCTGCGCCTTTGTGTGGATTACCGTGCACTCAACGCCATTACCATAAAAAACAAGTACCCGCTGCCCCGTGTTGAAGAACTCTTCGACATGCTTGGAGAGGCAACCGTGTTTAGCAAACTCGACCTACGCTCCGGCTACCATCAGATTCGTCTTGCTGAAGAAGACACTCCTAAGACGGCGTCCCGCACCTGCTATGGTCATTTCGAGTTTCGCGTTCTACCATTCGGCCTCACCAATGCTCCAGCCACCTTCATGGGTCTTATGAGCGACATCTTCAGACCGTTTCTTGACCGCTTCGTCATCGTGTTCCTCGACGACATTCTCATATTCAACAAGTCCCTCGAAGAACACACACAACATCTTCGCATCGTACTTGATACACTTCGCCAACACCGCCTCTACGCCAAGTTGTCGAAGTGTACTTTCGCCCGTTCGAGCATTGGCTTCCTTGGACATATCATCAGCTCACACGGCATCGCTATGGACCCTGCTAAGGTCCAGTGCCTTGTTGATTGGCCAGCACCACGCACGGTAGCAGAGTTGCAAAGCTTCATCGGCCTCGCAAAGTACTACCGCAAGTTCATCTTCAACTTCTCGCATATTTGCGCTCCCTTAACCGATCTCTTTTGCCAAGGTGCTGTTTTTCAATGGGAACAACCTCAACAGGCTGCCTTCACTGCAATCAAGGCTGCCCTAACTGCTACACCAGTCCTCACCGTCGCCGACCCATCACGACCTTACTTCCTTTGGACAGATGCTTCCGACGTTGCTGTTGGCGCCATTTTATGCCAAGATCATGGACATGGGCTGCAACCGATCGCTTTTGAGTCACGCAAGCTTCAACCTGCCGAACGCAACTACGCCACCCATGACCGTGAGCTGCTTGCTATTATCCATGCCATCAAAACATGGCGTTGCTACTTGGAGCTTCAACCTCTCACCGTCTACACCGAACACCGCCCCCTTCAACATTTACGCACACAACCAATTCTCAGCAGGCGACAAGCACGTTGGGTAGAATTTTTGGAGCAGTTTGTCCCTGACTTGAAGATTATCTACAAGCCCGGACGTCTCAACCCAGCCGACATCCTTTCTCGCCCACCTCCACCAGCCCCACCTTCCTCCACCTCGACTTCACACGCACCATTCGAACTCCACGGCATCAGCTCCATCACTTGGGATGAGTCCTTCATTTCTAAGTTCCGTCGCGGTTACGCTCGAGACCCATTCTTCACCACCCACGCCCCAACAAACCCTTCTTACCGATTTGAGGACCCGTTTTGGCACACTAAAGACAACGTTGTCGCGGTACCGGCGGATCGCTCCTTGAAGAACCTTTTGCTATCGGAATACCACGATACCGGCAGCCATTTTGGGATCGAAAAGACTTATTCCAACCTTCGCAAGGACTACACTTGGCCCGGAATGTATGCTGATACTCGTGACTACATCCGCTCGTGCACCACATGCCAACAAATCAAAGCCCGTTCGACCAACCGCTATGGACTTCTTCAGCCCATCCCTCCACCCACCAAGGTTTGGGACGAGCTTACCATGGACTTCATCATGGAGCTGCCCCGCACACCTCGCAACTACAATGCCATTCTTGTGGTTGTTGACCGACTCTCCAAGATGACTCATTTCATCCCGACCCACACCAACGTCACCGCACCTGAAACGGCACGTCTCTTCTTCGACAATATCATCCGCCTTCATGGGATCCCATCAGCCATCATCTCTGATCGTGACCCGCGCTTCCTCAGCAACTTTTGGCAAAGTGTTTTCAAACTCTACGGCACCCGACTTCGCTTCTCTACCGCTTACCATCCTGAAACCGATGGCCAAACCGAGCGTATGAACCGCACCCTCAAAGATGCACTCCGCGCTCACGTCAACCCTCGTCAAACTGATTGGGACTTATACCTTTCAAGCATTGAACTCGCTTACAACAGCAGCCCCCACCTCTCCACCGGACAGCCCCCCTTCTACCTTGCCACGGGACAACACCCACGCCTCCCTACCACCCCACCCTCACACCTCAACCACACACCTGCAGCTCTGGATTTTCTCTCCTCTCTTGACTCTACCATCACCGCAGCTCGAAACTCCATTCTCAAATCCCAAGCACATCAGACCCGCCATGCAAACTTACATCGCTGCGACATCCGATTCAAAGAGGGAGACCAAGTGCTCTTGTCAACCGATCACCTGCCACTTCTTCGCAAAGGCACCACTCGTAAGCTTGCTCCACGCTTCATCGGCCCATACACCATCATTCGGGTTCTTTCCCACGTCACCTACCGTCTCCAACTCCCAAGCTACATGCGCATTCACCCCGTCTTTCATGTCAGCCGCCTCCGACCATTTGTTCCACCCCCACCCAACCGACCTGCACCACGCCCACCCCCACCCATGTTTGAAGGCATCACCAACCTTTTTGAAGTTGACTCTATCATCAATCACCGGGAGACCCCTACTGGTCAGGAGTTCCTTGTTCGTTGGAAGCACCAGCCACCGGAAGACGACTCGTGGGAACCTGAACATGCCCTTGACCGTGCTGCCACTGCCGTGACCCGCTACCTCTCTGCCCACAACTTGGCGCCGTGGACGTCGCCTCTTGGGGGGGGAAGTAATGCAACAGCGCGGCAGCCCACTGTTACAGTTGGGCAGCCGCACAGTGCCAACCCACCGGCAAGTGGGAGGCTGAAAACTCCCAAACTACGCAAGGTTGGGATTGGCCAGCCTCCCATCCCAGCATTTGGGCGCCCACCTGAAGACACGCAGCCCAAACCACACCCTCGCGCGAAAATTACGAAACGCAGAAAAGTCAAGCTCTGACCCCTCGCCGACTTCGCCAACGGTGCCGACGAAATTACAGCCCCGTAACCAAGCTCGCCGTCCAATCCCGCATCGCAATCAATCTCTGAATTTCACGGCAAGGTTCATTTCAAGGGGTAGAGTTACCAATAAGAAATTCAGAGTGTCGCGACTTGGTAGTGCGACTCGATTTGTGAATGCATCCTATAAAATTGTGTGTGAAATTTGTTGAAGTCATAGTGCAATTTCCAGAGAATTCCAGAGAGCACTCTATACCCGTTTTCCTAGCCTACTAAGGCTGCTATCTCCCTGCCAAGAACGTTTCAATCTGTGTGGTATGCGAAAAACGCACAGTCTTTTTCCATCTTGTGTATTCCTTTTTCTCACTAGCATCTCTTCCTCTCTTCCTCCTCCCCCCCCCCCCCCCCCCACTTCTCTCTCTCTCTCTCTCTCTCTCTCTCTCTCTCTCTCTCTCTCTCTCTCTCTCTCTCTCTCTCTCTCTCTCCCTCCCTCCCTTTTTTCTTCCTCTCACTCTCCGTCTTCATCTCTCCCTCCCAACCCCACTCCCCCTCCCGCTCCCCACCCCACTCCCGCTCCCACTCCCTCTTTCATTAACTCTTCCACTCCCTATCCCACTTCCTCTCTCGCTCCCTCTCCCACTCCCTCTGTTGCTCCCTCTCCCACTCCCTCTGTCGCTCCCTCTCCCACTCCCTCTGTCGCTCCCTCTCCCACTCCCTCTGTCGCTCCCTCTCCCACCCTCTGTCCCTCCCTCTCGCACTCCCGCTGTTCCTCCCTCTCGCACTCCCTCTGTCGCTCCCTCTCCCTCTCCCTCTGTCGCTCCCTCTCCCTCTCCCTCTCCTCCTCCCTCTCCCTCTCCATATTCTCCCTCTCCCTCTCCATCTCCCCGTCCCTCCTCTTCTTCTTCACCTCCCCTCCCGATCCCTATCCTCTCCTTTCTTGCACTTACTCTTGTCCAATTTCTTGATTTTTTTTCGTCCCTTCCATTTATTCCGTTGTACTTCCGTATCTCTGCATTTGTACTGCCTTTTGTCTGTTTCTGACAAAACTTGATAGTTGTAGTGTTGAACCTATGGTCATTGCCCCCCTTCTTGCGCCACCCTCTCCCCCGACCTTTTTTTTTGTGTGTATGTGTGGGGGTGTTTTTTTTTTAGGTTGGCCGGGCAGTGAATAGTTCTCAAGGAGAACGTCCAGAGACCAACGTTTCCCAAGAATCATGTCGGGAATGACCATATTGGGCTGTGTTTGTTTTTATGAAGCTTGCTCATTGTGGGTGGTATGATGTAATGGTATGGCATTTGTTGAGCAAAGATACTATATTCCCTTGGATACACGCCATTAGGGGCTTGTAGGGATGAAAGTGGGGGAAGAACGGTGGTAGTAGGAGAGGTGGATTAATTTAATCAAGTAAATAACTTCGAAATACCGGTAATCGTTGTAAATCAAATTGTAGATCGCAAAATATGATATATTTACCGTAAGACCCCGGATAGAAGCGCAGGCCTCGGATAAGCGCCGGCGCTTATAAAAGGATGAGGGCGCTTATATCCGGTCCTCGATTATAAGCGCACCCCCTAAAAATTCGCGATTTATTATAAGCGCATGTCGATTTTTATTTGAAAATCAGTACTGTTGTACAGTTTTAGTTTCCCACTCCTCACATCTCACTTTCTGCGCGTCTTGTCAGCTCGTGCTGTCACTTAGTCAGCATGTGTTGGCAGGGAATCAATCCCTGCCAAGCTGCGCGAGAATCAGATTCGCGACCCCATATATTTTCGACTCGATTATAAAGGGCAAACTGAGATATACAGTTTGGTGCAAAACAAACTTAATTTCATTTTTGCCATTCTATAGACACCGGCGCTGATAAATTTCCTCGATTATAAGCGCACCCCCTAAAAAACAGTGTTTTATTACAACCCCAGGGGCGCTTCTATCCGGGGTATGACGGTATGTGCTTGTTCCGTTAGCCCCGGGATATAAGACTTCGGATAAGCGCCGGGCGCTTATAAAAAGCATATGGCGCTGATATCCAGTCCACGATGTCAAACTATAATGATGTTTGTGCTGTGTAGGCTGTAGTGGGGTAGCCCATAAGGGGTACAACCCAAATTAGGGTTAGCATTTGTACTGACTTCTCTGCTCAATGCACTCATTCTCGCTTACTCTTTTGACATGGTATCAGAGCAGCTTCTGTTCCAGGACCCATTTTTTAGGGCCCACCGAACAGTTCCGTGGCCGTAGCGTGTTACCCTGCTCGTAGCGCCCTACCCTGCCCGTCGCGCTGCCCCACCAGTTGCGCTCCCCTGCCCCCGCGTTGCCCTGCTGGCTGCCGCGCTACCTTGCCCTGCCCTTCGTTGCGCTGCCCAGCGCACGCTCTGCCCTGCCCTGCGTTGCGCCACCCCACGCGCGCCCTGCCTTGCGTCGCGCCGCCCGCGCGCGCCTGGCCCTGCCCCTCGTCGCGCCGCCTCGTGCACGCCCTCCATGATCCATGCGGCTGCTCCCCATTTTCTGTGGCCGTTTGCGGTCCGGTACGCTGCGCATCAGCTCAACCTCTGGCCCCGCGTCTCCTTACCGGAGACCTCGCCTACACTGCGTTGGACGGGGGAGGTTGGCGATGCGTCGGTGTTCCGGGTCTGGGGCTCTCGTGCCTTTGTCCGCGATACCTCCGCGGACAAGCATTCCTCCCGTGCAATTCCCTTTGTCTTCCTTGGCTTTCCCACTGACGCGCCTAGCTGGCAGTTTTACCACCCCACCTTGCGCCGTTTCCTGTCCTCTCAGGACATCACGTTTGACGAGTCGGTTCCCTTTTACCATCTCTTCCCCTACCGCACTGCCCCTCTCCCCCCCCCGCCGCTCTTTCTCGCTCCAGGTCCCCCTCTGGTAGACCCCCTCCCCCCTCAGGGTCCTGCTCCTTCAGGTGTGTCTCAGGTAGACCCACTCCCCTTGGTTGAGCCTGTCGAGGTCACTGGTGACTCTGGTGCTGCTCGGGGTGCTGCGTCTGGGGGTGCTGAGCCTGCGGGTGCGGAGCCTAAGCGTGCGGAGCCTGGGGGTGCTGAGCTTGGGGGTGCGGAGCCTAGGGGTGCTGAGCCTGAGCGTGCGGAGCCTAGGGGTGCTGAGCCTGCGGGTGCGGAGCCTAGGGGTGCTGAGTCGGGGGGTGCTGAGCCTAGGGGTACTGCGTCTACACTACGGGAGCCTCTCTCACCACAGCAGCTGCGCGAGTGGTACACTCAGCGCTACCGCCTTCGGAGTGGCGCTGCTGGAGCTGGAGGCCCTGGAGCTGCTAGTCCCAGAGGTGCTAGAGGTACTGCTGGTACTGAAGGTACTGGAGGTGCTGGAGCTACTCGTCCTGGAGGTCCTACCGGTGCCTCTCCACAGCAGTCTAGCTGGCGGGAGCCTCGCTCACCACAGCAGCTATGCGAGTAGTACGCTCGGCGCACTCGCCTTCGGAGTGGCGCTACTGGAGCCGGAGGCCCTGCCGCTGGAGGCACTGGCACTGGAGGCACTGGAGCTGGAGGCGCTGGAGCTAAAGGTACTGGGGGTGCTTGAGCTTCTGGTCCTGGAGGTCCTACAGGTGAATCGCCACCACAGTCTAGTCGACGAAAGCCTCTCTCACCACAGCAGCTGCGTGAGTGGTTTGCTCGGCGCACCCGCCTTCGGAGTGGAGCTGTTGGAGCTGGAGGCCCTGCCGCTGGAGGCGCTGGCGCTGGAGGCACTGGAGCTGGAGGCGCTGGAGCTGGAGACCCTGGAGCTGGAGGCGCTGGAGCTGGAGGCGCTGGAGCTAGCTGGAGACGCTGGAGTTGGAGGCTCTGGAGCTGGAGACGCTGGAGCTGGAGGTACCGGAGGAGCTGGAGCTGCTGGTCCTGGAGGTGCTCGTACTGGAGGTACTGGAGCTGCCGGAGCTGGTGGTGCTGCTGGTGCTGGAGGTGCTGGTGGTGCTGGCACTGCTGGTTCCGGAGTGCTCGTACTGGAGGTGCTGGAGCTGCCGGAGCTGGTGGTGCTGCGGGCTCTGGAGCTGGAGGCACTGGAGCTGGAGGAGCTGGAGCTGGTGACCCGGGAGCTGGAGGTACTGGAGCTGGAGGCGCTGGAGCTAGAGGCGCTGGAGCTGGAGGTTCTGGAGCTGCTAGAGGCCCTGGAGCTGCTGGTACTAGTACTGGAGGTGCTGGTGCTGGAGGAGCTGGAGCTGGTGGTACTGCACAGCGGCGACTGTTCTTCGCTCTGCCGGCACCGTCGTCTCTGCCCCCGCCTGACTCCGTGCTTAGCCAGGTTCTTAGCCTCCCGTCTTCTACTGGCCTCCCGTTACAGCCAGGCTCCCCACTGCCTGCTCCTTCTCCTTACCCTGAGCAGACAGACTCGCTTACAGAGCGTCGTGAGCCTGCGTCTCGTCCTGCCTCGCCTGTTCGCGCTGTTCGCACTGGCCGCCGTGTTCCTCGTCCACGTCCTCCTCCTGTCCCTGGCACTCACACTATGGCACTTCGTCCTTCCTCTGTTCCACATCGTGTTCCCCTGCCGTCTCCTCCTGCGTCCTCTCTTCCGCACGTTCCGGACCCTGAGTCTGACCTGGTTCGTGCTGCCAGCCCTACTGTCACGCGTCTCCTAGCCACTGTTGTCACTGACCCTTCGTTTGAGTCCACTGCTGCGTCTGCCTTAGTCGCTGAGCTTGTTGACTTTGCTGCTGCTTGTCGTCTCGACTACGCCGCTAGTCTTGTTGCTGAGTTTTAGTCTATCTGTCCTCCGTCCGTTAGGGGTGAGTGTGCTCTTGGCGCGGACGTCCTTGAGGACAGGCAGGAGGACTTTCAGCGTCTTGCAGCTGTTGTACCTCATCTCGTGGCCATGCTGCTTGCACCTGAGGGAGACTCGGATGCACTGGACATCCCGACCCCGCGCTCTTACGCAGAGGCGATAGAGGGTCCCTACTCCTCTCAGTGGCAGACAGCCATAGACGCAGAGATGGCATTCTGGAAGTCCACAGGCACTTACGTCGACGCAGTTCCCCCTCCTGGGGCGAACATAGTCGATGGCATGTGAATTTTCAGGGTGAAGCGGCCGCCGGGTTCTCCGGCTGTCTTCAAGGCTCGTTACGTCGCACGAGGCTTCAGTCAGCGATAGGGAGCTGACTTATTCCAGAACTTTTCCCCAACCCCGAAGATGACCACTCTTCGGATGCTGCTGCACGTTGCCGCTCAGCGTGACTACGAGCTTCACTCCCTTGACTTCAGCACAACTTTCTTACAGGGCAGTCTGCACGAGGAGATCTGGCTGCGCCGCCCACCTGGCTTCACTGGGTCGTTTCCTGCAGGTACCCAGTGGAGCCTCCGGCGGCCAGTCTACGGTCTCCGCCAGGCACCTCGTGAGTGGCACGACACACTGAGGACGACACTTGCGGCTCTTAGGTTTGCTCCTTCGACTGCAGACCCGTCACTGTTTCTGCGCACCGACACTTCGCTGCCGCCGTTCTACATCCTCGTGTACATCGACGACTTGGTCTTTGCCACTGCTGACACTGATGCGCTGACCCTTGTGAATTCGGAGCTGCAGAAGAGTCAGACGTGCACAAACTTGGGTGAGCTGCGCAGCTACCTTGGCTTGCAGATCACCCGGGACAGAGTACGGCGCACCATCACCCTGACTCAGTCACACATGGTGCATCGCTTTGGCTTCAAGTGGTCCTCGCCACAGTCCACTCCTCTGCCTACCGGTCACTCGCTCTCAGCTCCACCTTCAGACGAGTCCGTAGAGCTGAGTGGCCCGTATCCAGAGCTTGTGGGCTGCCTCATGTACCTGATGACCTGCACTCGTCCTGACCTTGCGTACCCTCTTAGCATCCTGGCACGCTACGTGGCTCCCGGTAGACACCGAAAGGTGCACTGGGATGCTGCGAAGAGGGTACTGCGTTACTTGTGCAGTACATCGGGCATGGGGCTCGTGCTTGGAGGACGGGGTCCAGTTGTCCTCACTAGACAATCA